ATATGTAAAAAAAAGAACAAGTAAGTGACAGTTTAGAATTTTTCTTCACATACATTATCTTGTAGAATAGAATATAAAATATTATGTATAGAATATATCGAGTAGAAGTAAAATAACCCCAATTCGTTCAAAAAAAATCTTATAAAAGTTGTTCTTTTTGCTCATACAAAGTAAAATATAAAAAATAAAAAACCAAAGAATTTTGGAAAACTACTAAAAGTGTTGCTTAATTTTTAGTTTAGAATTTTTTAAATGTTGGCCAAACTGAGTCAAAGTTAAAAAAAATATTCATCACAAAACAAAAAAAAAACAGGTGCACTAAGAGTTTCAATTTTTTTAAATTTTTTCTAAATAAAGTTATTGCATGTTTTTATAATCCTCAAAAAATGTAATCTTTCTCTTCCTCTTTCTCGATCTATTCTTCAGCTACCTAAAATTATACGGCCTGTAACGATTATGATTAAGTGGTACTTAATTTTTTTTTCTTTAAAATAAAAAAAATTAAAATTAATTGACAAATTTAAAACCAAACAAAAAACTCTTATTTTTTTTAATTACTTAATAATTAAATTAATTAATTAATATCAAAAATCCGAATTAATTAAGCATATCTGAGAAAACTTAATACCATAACTCAGTTTTTCAAATTAACATAAACAGTATTATAATTAATTAAACATTTTTTAAATAATTAGAAATAAGTTGCAAAATCAATTTTTGAATAAACCGCTAGGACTCGAGACATGTTTAAAACAAGATTAAGAAGCCGTTAACTTGAAAAAAATGTGTGCAACTAAATCCAATTTCAAAACAATTACACCGAAATTCCAGGAATTCCAAAAAATTTCACTAAAATTCAAAAAAAATTGTAGTAATTCCATAAATAATCCATCGTAATTCCAACGTAAATTCCGTAATTCCAAAATAATTGCTGTAATTCCAAATTAAATTGTTCTAAAAAATTCCACTTAATTTTGAAAAAAAATTATACATATAAGTGTCCTTAAAAAATTCCAGTTATTCAAAAAGTACTCCATCAATTCCAAAAAGAATTCCAACAATCCCAAAAAGAATTCTAGTAATTCCAAAAAGAATTCCAGCTATTCCAAAAAAATTCCAGTATTTTACATATAACTTACTGAAGTTATATGTAGTAATTTCAGTAATTCCAAACAATCCAAAGATAGTTTCTATAATTCCAAATACTTTCAAATAATTCCAAGCAATTTCCGATTAAATTCCAAAAAATTGTACAACTAATTCCAGAATGAACGGTCCCTTTAGCAAGATCTATAGCTCAAAATAGGACAAAATTATGTAGAAATATCTTGATCAGGTTTTTTCGATAAAGAAAAGATTAGTTTAAAACATTGTTTATACAATTCTTAAAAACAGAAGTTGCAAATTATCTACAATGTGATTCAAAATGACCGTACAATCACTCGGATAATTTCTACAACTATCAAAATTTCACACTTAAATAATAATAATAATAATAATAATAATAAAAGCCTTTATTTCGTAATATGTACAGGCGAAGTCTAGCCAATAGACTATTCAACTTAACCTAAGTACACATAAAACTAAATCAAAATACATACAAGAAGAAAAAGAAGAATGTTGTATGAACTTTCCTCAGGTGAATATAACTCTTCGAAAATGCAATTTTTTTATTAATTACGGAAGATAAGTTAGTGTATTATTATTAAGAGACGTTAAAACATATATAGAATATTAAAAAATAAATAAAATCTTAGTAAGAATAACACAAAGTAGTTCAAAATATACTGCAGCGTTGCCAATTTGTGCCATCTTTAAACATACATATTTTCAATCTCAGCGTCCATTAACGTTTTCTATCACCATATACGATATTGTCCTACCTTTTTGAATCACCCTGTACATTAAAATTTCTTACGAAATTTTCTACTTTTTCTACATTTTTCAGCAAATTAGGTATGATAAAACTTAACATACAAATACGAAAACAAAGAAATATTTTTGATGACAAGAATTGATAAAAATACTTACTTGGACTGTCACCCTTTAGGTAGTCCTTTTGGTCCTTGGCCTCCGGCACGTAAAACCCCTCGTATTGTTGCTCAGGATATAGCACATTTTTCGCAACAAACTCATTATCGACTTCTTGATGATAATAATGATACGCTTCGGTCGAATTATCCCAAAACTGTTGATTAGCACCAAAGTCATAGTGTCCATACTCGCGCTTAACATTACAGTAATAATTTGCATACTCATTGTCCATATTCAGGATATCCTTAACCGAGAAAGGGGTACTAAGATTCGTCGTCGTATCACACGTTTGATACTCATTATTCCCTTCGATATGATACTGTTCGAGCATTTTTCCAATGATTAATTAACACTAAACCGCACTGGACGTGGTCGCAACTAATTATGGACTTTGAGCGATTTGTAAAGCAAGTGGTGTAAGACTCGCGTTGACTTAAGAACGACTCTATTTCCAAGAGTTTTAAAGAGGAAATTTGCTTGTGGATTGATGGACGAGACTGAGAGACCGTAAAGTGGATTTGTTTTAGGTTCATGAGGCTTTATGACGTCAGAATGGAACACGCCCATCACCAATGGAATAAGAGAGTAAACTAATACTTGGACAAATGATTGATTGTTGTAGGGATTGGGGTAACGAAGGGGGGAGATAAGTCAACAGTTTTTGGAAAAATACACATTGGCGAAACGAAAATAAGAGAAATATCGGGTAGCTAAGTATTTTATGACTCTACTTATGTTTTGCTATAAAATTAATGATGGTAAAAAATTAATTGCCGGCGTCGGGTTCGAGTGGCCAAAAATTTAGAGACAAATAATAAAGATTTCAGTTAAAATATTCTATTATTGGTCTAAAAAATATGAAGAAATAATTTGGGCAAATATGATATGTCTTCAAAGATATCCACCTCAAATAAGCAACTAAAAATTAAACAATATACAGGATTTTTTTTTAAACAGTAAGTAATATTAAAGTCAACTCCACAAATCGATAAATTTTATTTAGTCAAGTTGGGACATGTTTCGGCACCCTTGAAAATTGTTACACTTTAAAATAAAAAATAAAAAATTCACAAGATTAAAAAAATTAAATGTTCACTGTTAAAAAAATTTCCTGGTTATAACAAATGGAAAAATATACAGAATAAATAGGATTTAAACATTATTCCCCTGTAAAAAAGTAAAAGGACGAGGTCAGTGAAGCTGAAGCCTCGCCCGTAAAAAGTTTTGAAGAACGATATATACAGGATGTCCTAGAACTCGCGTCCAAGAGAAAAATGCCAAGTAAGATAAAATACCAGAAACAGAAAAAAATGTTAAAAATCTATAAGAGCTTCGAAATTACGGGGCTTTAAATTTAGCACTTTTTTTCTGTTGGAAAATAATTTTATATGTTTTTTGCTGCAAGCTATTAGACGAGAAAACAAAGAATTATTTGTGGCTTTTATTAGCAAAGTTTTTGTACTTTTATCTCGACTTTTATTAAATAATTATGAAAAAACATATAACGGGTGTTTTTTAAAATTTAGCGTCAAAGTTATCCATGAAAGTTAGATTGTGAACGAACCATTATATTAAAAGTTATTAATCTGACATTTAACAACTCGCCGGGCGTATTAAAAATTGTGGTCTGTTCACAACACACTCATATCACCGCCAATTATGACGGCAAATTTATTTTTTTTTAATTCTTATGTGTGTAAAATGTGTTTGGCTATTTTACTTGGCATTTTTTTAAGCCGCGAGTTTTGTATGACACCCTGTATAATGTTGAAACATGTTTTTTTTTTAATGTTGTTTCCACAAAAACATTGATCATAATAGCTAGAAATAAATTCACAATAAAGTTTTTTTTGTTTATAAATAAAATTATTTAAGCAATTGGAGTAAAAACAGTCAGACGTGCAAACTTTATGCCCCCATAATTACTCAATTATTTTAGCTATTTTTTAAAAACATTTTTTGCCCTTTACAAATATTCTGCAAATTTTTGAGTCACCCTGTATGTACACTACATTGTGTTGTAATAAAATAACTAGGTACACATTTTGACGTTAATTTTGCCGATTATTGTACATTTTTCGTAGTTGTGTTTGAAAAATTGTAGCAAATCTACAAAATAACTTTTTTTAGTATTGATGTCGACAAAATTAATGTCTCTTGTAAAATTTCGTACAAATAAGACAAAAACGTACAATAATTTATTAATTTAATTGTAAAAAATACATATCTACAACAAATATAAAAATTGTGCAAAAATTTCAGAGCAAATAAATCTTATTTGGGTGTACTTATTTACAAAGAAATAGAAAAAAAAAATACATTTACCAACCAAAATTATAAAGTGTTGCAAGGCTGATAGTGTTTTTTGTCACTTTTAGTACCTTGAATAGCTTGACTGTGTCAGTAGTTTTGGCGGTGATTGTACATTTTTATATCTTTTTACATAAACAAATATTCGTCTTAAAATTAAATTTAAAAAATAAAAGAATTGCATTGCTAACGTTATTCAGTCTAAATATTAAAAACAGTTAAAAAAACAAGAAAAAGTTTACCATTAATCAAAATGTTAAAAAAATTAAAGTTTTA